TGACTTCCATCAGAAATTACGTTGACAGCGTTTAGAGGTGCTAGGATCCCGATCCTAGGCTGTGTGGATGTAGAAGCGCCATATGGGAAACAGACACTAGAGATTCCGATTCTTGTTGTGGAAGGACATGATCAGAATTGTTATTTGGTAGAGACTGGCTTTCACACTTGGAATGATGAAATGTCCTCAAGGTGGAGAACGAGAAAATGAAAGACTTGCTCTCTGACTACTTGGGTGTGTTCAGCAAGGAACTAGGCGAGTTTCAAGGATGTAAAGTGAAAATCAACTGCTCTGTGTAGTGTGTGCCAAGATTTTATAAGCACCGCAATGCTGCTTATAAATGCATTGAGAGAGAAAGTTGAACATTAACTTGACAGGTTGGAAAAGGCAGAACGAGTTAAAAAGTCAAACTGGGCTGTTCCCTTTGTACCGGTAGTAAAGTCTGACTTGTCAATTCGGATATGTGGGGGACTATAAACTGACCATCAATCAGGTGGCAAAACCTGACATCTACCCAATTCCCAGGATACAAGATCTGTTCGCATCATTGTCTGGTGGAAAGACCCTCACCAAGCTCGACATGATTATTATTATTATGACAGTATTACAGTTATATCGCGGCGTGTCAGCTTAATGTGGGAGGAAAGCCTGAAGTGATGCAGGTCTCAGACGTTTACCACTTCGGTGAAACCCACGAGCACGGGTATGGTGCTGACAAACCTAGAAACATAATCGGGCCAATCGGGATTCGAACCCACAATCATAGGTTTCTTGTGCGTCCGAAGGGACGTAACTCTGCAGAGCGAATCGCGGCGCAATAGACCCTCCGTGTCCCCTCAAAATAGATGGATGTGTTTCCACTTTACACGTCTACAGCTACAGCAAAAATGGCTTGTTTGAGAAGTTCGTTCCCGATACATGGTCTTCCAGAGACTTTGGATACAGATAATGCTTCATCAGTGCTTCACCAGTGAGAAATTCCAGGAATGTATGAACAAGAACAGCATACAGCATATATGTGTAGCACCTTATCATCCTGCTACAAATGATGTCACTGAACGAGCAGTACAGACTTTCAAAAAAAGAAACGGACACACGCGTAGGCACGTATGTAAATTGTCATTTATGTAAATTATGTAAATCTCATGCAATAAGACCTCAGCAATGCATGTTGGGTAAATTTGTCAGACGCTTGTTATGGCGGACGTTTGTATCGACGCTGTGAAGTAAACAACTATGTGGAACTACAGGATAAGTCCGTCTTATTTCTTATGAAACAGGATTCCGATCACAGGTTGCCATAGCGAGGTCACAAACATGCCGGCATCAACGACAACTCAGGTTAAGGTCACCTAACATGCCGGCATCAGTGACCACTTGTGATTGTTGTGACCCGACGAGTCGGCACCAACGACGACCTGTGGGGGTTGAGGTCACCCAAAATGCCTATATCAAAGACTACTCGCGAAGGTCGTGGTCACCCAACATGCTTGTATTCTTTTTTCAAAATGACGACTCATATAACTCTAGGGCCTACAGATACCGTGCACACAGAAGATTCTCAACTTCGAGTCTAGTTTACTAAAGACTTCCTAAAATCTAGAAAAGTTCATCTCGTATATTTTGTGAATAAAATAAGAGGGGCCTTTCCAGCAGACACATACAAGGGTTTCAACTTTCCAATATACAAGACCATGGATAAAATATGTGAATTTATGTACACCAAAACAGTGTCAAATATGTTGACTGTCATGGATTATTTTTAACAATGAAGGCTAAGTTTACTTACTTAACCAAGTTTTTTTAGTTTGTATGGATCTCTCTCATGTACACATGCCTCAAAATGTAAGAAACCATCGGTTTCCATTTTCGCTGTATCCAAACTTTCAAACTAGCTAAATCGTCATTTTCGCTAGGAAATTTAAAGAAATGACATTTGGTACTTTTGTTTGATGAATTAGTGCAACCTCACGCAACACAATACCAAATTCCGCGTTTTCAATACGCCGGGAATAACGGAAAATCACTTCATTGCCATGTAGATTAATGCACTGTAAATAAATCTTGGCGGACGTCTCTCCTCTAGCTGGGATTTCGATATGCATACGCGCTGTTTGTGAGGTCTGGGCAGTTGTTGATTGCTTTTTATATAACAATGAAATCACATATGCTTTTAGGGGGTACGCGAATATGTACATTTTACAACTATTTAACATGTTTTAAAAAGTTTGTAATTTAATAGATCTCCTTTAAATAAACGTGGGGACCTTCCAAAAAAGTACACACCGGGCGGGTATTCAAGGATGTGCTGTACTTTCTTTTTCCCAGCAGTTTAGTGTCATTTTATATCATTTTGTTTGAGCGTGAAAAATAGTCAGTTTAAAATAATAACGAACTTTCCCTCAACGTATGTACTGACACACGGCAAGCTATTTCACCGTCGACTTGCCCATCCACCTTCCAGTTAACAGCCTAGTGGTTAAAGCGTTCGCTCGTCACGCCGAAGACCCGGGTTCGATTCCCAACATGGGTACAATGCGTGAATTTCCCAAAACACCTTTTTGGCTTTAGGCACATATTCTCTGAAATTGTGAGACTGAGAAAACTAAACTCCCTGTTTAATGTCATGATTACGTTTTGTTCAAATCACATTTATGTTGAAAATATTTGAATATCAATGTTGACACTTGTGTATATTTGTTGACATTTTTAACTGTTGACTATATATCAATGTGAGCTACAGTGTTGTGGTACTATAGATACTGCTTATATAATGCACTGTCTGTCTTTAGGAAAGCGATCTTCTCCACGCTATGGTCATGCGTCTTCCTTCAGCGTCTGTCAGATGTCTATCACGTTGCATCCAGGTTCATATCCATCTCAGCAGGACCCGTGAAGATCCGGGGTAGAAAAGGTCTTCAGCAACCCATGTTTGCCGTAAAAGGGACCCGTGAAGATCCGGGATGGAGTAGGTCTTCAGCAACCCATGTTTACCGTAAAAGGGACCCGTGAAGATCCGGGATGGTCTTCAGCAACCCATGTTTGCCGTAAAAGGGACCCGTGAAGATCCGAGGTAGAAAAAATCTCCAGCAACCCATGTTTGCCATTAAAGGGACCCGTGAAGATCTGGGGTAGAAAAGGTCTTCAGCAACCCATGTTTGCCGTAAAAGGGACCCGTGAAGATCCGGGATGGATTTGGTCTTCAGCAACCTATGTTTGCCGGAAAAGGGACCCGTGAGGATCCGGGATGGAGTAGATCTTCAGCAACCCATGTTTGCCGTAAAAGGGACCCGTGAAGATCCGGGGTAGAAAAGGTCTTCAGCAACCCATGTTTGCCGTAAAAGGGACCCGTGAAGATCCGGGGTAGAAAAGGTCTTCATCAACCCATGTTTGCCGTAAAAGGGACCCGTGAAGATCCGGGGTCGAAAAGGTCTTCAGCTACCCATGTTTGCCGTAAAAGGGACCCGTGGAGATCCGGGGTAGAAAAGGTCTTCAGCAACCCATGTTTGCCGTAAAAGGGACCCGTGAAGATCCGGGGTAGAAAAGGTCTTCAGCAACCCATGTTTGCCGTAAAAGGGACCCGTGAAGATCCGGGGTAGAAAAGGTCACGATGATACACCATCCACGCCGTTGGGGTACGATGATACACGATCCACGCCGTCGGGGTACGATGATACACGATCCACGCCGTTGGGGTACGATGACACACCATCCACGCCGTTGGGGTACGATGATACACCATCCACGCCGTCGGGGTACGATGACACACGATCCACGCCGTTGGGTATGATGATACACGATCCACGCCGTCGGGGTACGATGATACACGAACCACGCCGTCTAGGTACGATGTCACACGATCCACGCCGTCTAGGTACGATGATACACGATCCACGCCGTCTAGGTACGATGACACACCATCCACGCCGTTGGGTACGATGATACACGATCCACGCCGTCGGGGTACGATGATACACGAACCACGCCGTCTAGGTACGATGTCACACGATCCACGCCGTTGGTGTACGATGATACACGATCCACGCCGTTGGGGGACATTCCACTTCCTGTAGCACTATTGAAGTTTATGGTCATATGTGCAGAAATATTGCACAGAACATAGCAACATGACATATAAAATCATAACAGCAACTGGCGCACGACTGTTCTGTCTGTTACAGACTATTCATCATATACGCTGATCGCATAATGCACCATGAACGCGTCTTGTGTATTTAAAACACAATTGTCCAGACAAGTGAGTGAGTGAGCCGATCTTAACATTATTTCTTTTCAGTGACTCCAAGTGACGCATGTCGTAGACATTTACCAATTTGGGTGAGTGAGTATGCTTTTAATAATATTGCAACAATATCACGGCGGGGTACACCAGAAATGGGATTCACACAATGCACACATATAGGGGATAGAACCCGGGTCTTCGGTGACAAGAGCAAACGCTTTAAACACTAGGCTACCCAACCGGCTCTTTACCAATTAACCACGCGTATGAATATGGTGCGGACAGACCTTAGATCTAAAACGGAGCGATTCCAGGATTCAAACCAAGCATACTGGCACAAATGTACACATCGAATTGAGGCGTCCGACACCACGCCTCTAAATGACCCGAAAAAATGAAAACATAAACAATCTAAATGTGTACTTTAAACCAAGGGACTTCCCGTCAGGGAAAACTTACACACTTGCACAAACCTTACACATGTTCTCACTGACGAAACACAGGCACAGTTCACTCACAATTTGTGTCATTCAAAATCTAACACTTGGAAACAGCTGTGAACATGAATTGGTCTGGTTTGTCTTCACGATTACAAACAGCCACATATAGTCTATTTACACCTTAACATATAGTCTATTCACACCTTAACATATAGTCTATTCACACCTGTAGATCACGTCCGCCGTCCTATTGTGGTCTGAACAAGGCGAGTATTGGAAGCAGCTGGCCCCTTCCGCTTGCGTAATTCTACCCTGATGAATTAACGACTCTGTGGTCCAGCTTATAACGTTTTCGCAATTTGGCTCCGCGTAATGACAAGTCCGAGACGACGGCCGTGTAATCGATTGTCTACAGTTGTCAAACGTAATTATTTGGGCGGATAATCATATGTCGAGAGATAATGCCACGATACCAACTGGATAGGTAGTCGGACATTGTCACCTCTTGTCCGCGTGGTGCACAAGTGGTTTTATTGTGCCCTCCCCACATCCTTCGATCTGGGATCATGCGGACATTTGAGCGAGTGTGGCGTTCTACCTGTTGCTATAGCTACGGAGTTCTGTGTACATCCCTGTTTGGCGTCGTATTGATCTGCTGCTTGTACCTGTAAAAGAGGTGGGGCTACTCTCGGATGGTATACACACATGGGTTTCATGCTGTAACAGACAGGTCTTGGACACACGCTCACACAGGGCTCTTATCACCACGAACGGATCACAATATTCGGCTGAGGCGATTGTGATTTATCTAAGAGGGTGCTATTGATCAAAGATCTTCAATTAGATTATGGAATGGTTAACATTGCCAAATGGAGGATAGCACTTAGATAATCGCCCGGTGTGTGGGTTAAGTGCTCTGGTTGGTGAACAACGAGGGGCACGCATGCAGGAATTCTGACCATTTCTGGCACCGAGCACGCGCACCCCACGCGCTGCCTCCTGTCCCCCAACTCAGGAAAGATGAGGCTGACCAACCCTCCCCCTGGAACCAGGAGCTTGGGATGGCTAACGGCCCCGGTCACTGTATCTTCACCCCCGGGGGCAAGTCACAGGTGACCCCCCAGATTGGCGACGGAGGTGCATCACACGAGGAGTGCGCGAAGGTAAGTCAGCTATATCATTACCCGCGATAGAAAACACGTGTGGATTCCGTGCCCTGCTTTTATAAGCATCGCCATTCTTAACCCATGGACTCTTTTCGTCTATATATGTCTGTAGTAAATACATACGTTTATACCCATTTAAACCCACATATATAGATGAGGGGTATACAGTTTACGGATGCTGTTATTTTGTTGTCAGTTTCTGTTTTTATGAATTAATATGTGAACGGTACATTTTGTCGAATGTCATCGATTTGCATGACTTTGATAATTGCATTTTAATTTTCAGTGTAAAGTTATGGCAATTTACTTCTCATACAAATGTGATTGGGATATACCTGGAGTAGACACGGGTTTCCGTGAGAAATTGCTATCTTTGTTTGTAGTCTAACGCACTCAGCAATATGACGGCGGTCTGTAAATATTCGAGTCTAGACCCGATATACCTGTGATTGACATCATGAGCATCGTTCCATGCAATTGAGATACGATGACATGCATCAACCAAGTGAGCGACCCTGACCACCCGATCCCGTTAGTCGCCTCTCACGACAAGAATGGGTTGCTGAAGACCAATTCTAGCCCGGATCTCCGCTGGTGTACGGACGTGTACCCCTTAAACATTCACAACTGCATATCGTGTTATGGTATGAACTCCATAGATGGCGGGGCAGTGGGGTAGCCTAGTGGTTAAAGCGTTCGCTCGTCACGTCGAACACCCGGGTTCGATTCCCCAAGTGGGTACCATGTGTCAAGCCCCTTTATGGTGTGTCGCGCAGTCATATTGCGGCAATATTGCTAAAAGCGGCGTAAAACCATATTCACTCACTCTTTGGGGAATAACGTTTAGGTCCTATTCTGCCATCTTTCGGACAAACACAATGTTTTATTCAAACAAGTCAGTTCTAGCCAGAGGGCTTCGTTGGAACTATTTGATGGAGTAATCCAACTAGCGATCAAGACGTTTTGAATTGAATTTACGATTCGTGTTATGGGAGAGCGTTGTCTTTGACTCTCGTGTTGTTAAGGTCACCCGCACTTAATTAAGTTTGTTTGTTTGTTTGTTGTTTAACGACCAAACAAACAAACAAATTTAATTACGTCCGTTATTCTCAGGCCGCGTTTTCTAGCATTAAGCGAATTTATCAAATGAAGTACATAAGCGATATACCCCATACCGGTGAGAGATAGTTATCCGCAATGAATAACACAGTGTTTCTCGAAATCATGTCACTTGCGTAGGCGTGTATGAGTATGATTATACCGTTATATTTATCCTGTTCATAAATCTTGGATTGCAAACTAAATGTCCTAGGCAGGCAAATTTGACAGAACTAGTTATTTTAAACATTGCATTCAATTACCTAGTTTTGTTTTTTTATAAGAAAAATATAGAACACGCATTGCGTGTATTGATGATGTGTGGCATGAATATTCTTGTGAAGTGTATCTTTTGTAAAGCATCGGATGATGAGTGTATGATCAGGTAGAACTGCGAAGTCGTTTTTCTGAAAACATTAACTCGAACAAGCTTTGTACAACCCTTATTCAAAGGACACTCGGGTGCAATCAATGAGGACGTTGTGAAAGCATCATCTTCGGTTACTGAATCTTTGGATTTTCGTTCACAGAGAATCGACTTATTTAAATTATTTATGCTACAATTCTTTTCTTGGTCATACCCGGTATTCAAAGACCCAATCATGCCAATAATAAAAATAAAAAAGGCTTGTTGCAAGTCCAATATGTTGAACATACCTGGCAAGTTTCTTTAATAATCATTATATTTTATCTTTAATTCGAGTGGCCCCCAAAGGCCATCATTAAGCCTCGTTGTTCCAGGTTTTGGGAGAGGTGTTCTTCAAAACCAACGTGACCTCACAGCCAGTGTGATTTTTAGTCTAGAGGGCAAGTTGGCGGGGATGCGTGAAAGAGGTTATCAGAGATCCTTGCAATTCCTTGACCGAACCCGAGTTTCCTTGCTCCCAGGCAGGCAGACAGGTTGACAGACACCTCGTTACATATAATTAAGATTCAAGAAATATAAACAACATGTATACATCATACAACGACTGAAACATGATACACAGTAAAATATAACGAGACACCCAACGCGACATTATGAGAGACTATAAAAGGTATATAAAATAATAATATCTACAAAATGATAATCTGTTATATAAAACTATCGATCTTTTGGCGATAATTGCACGGCAGGTCTTTGCAGATAGTGAAAACACGGCTTGGCTAGAGTGTATAACACCTACTTTTGACTATCATTAAAATTACCAAAATTCTCCCGTACTTGATTGCATCTAAAAGCATCAGATGAGAATTGCCGGATAACGGTCGTATACACTGACATCATAGTGTTGTCCAAACATTTAAGTGGGCGAAAAGATCCCCTTCATATCCCTCCTCAACAAATTCGAATATTAAAACATTTAGCAGGCAATTAAAACCTGATATAACATTCGAATCATGATCTCATGAACGAAATAAGAAAATCTTCTGTAACAAGCCACGAGTTATTAGAAGAATCAGTTTACATCCCTATTTTATATGTAATCTGCTGTCATACATGTTGGTACATAAGTTGCCTAGGTTACCACCATGTATAGAAAACAACCCGGGAGGGGAGAAGTGTTAGTCCAAAGAACAAAATATATTTGCGGTCACACATGAGGCCAAATATTTTTCCAGCATTTTTGGAACAGATTGTTTATTTAAAACAACAACAGTCCCTTACATTATGTGGATTTCTTCCACCACATATATATACCCTAATTATTTTAATCGTATATAGATGGTAGATTCTGTATGTGTGCTCCCAGCTGTTGCTATGTCAACTACATGTGGTAAGGCATAATAAGGCAGATATGTGTGATACAGTTAGTGTGACATGTATAGAACTATGACCAATATAGATGACCGAGTGAGTGTGAGCCCTAGGAAATGTTGACAGTGTATGTATGTGACCAAGTAGGACATAACCTACTGTGTTTTGAAATTTGGGTAGTCTCGCTGTAGATTCGATATATCTTATACTGTTGAGTGAGTGAGTGAGTGAGTGAGTGAGGTTTTACGCCGCTTTTATTAATATTCCAGCAATATCACGGCGGGGGACACCAGAAATGGGCTTCACACATTGTACCCATGTCGGGAATCGAACCCGGGTCTTCGGCGTTACGAGCGAACGCTTTAACCACTAGGCTACCCGACCGCCCCTATAATGTTGAACCGTGCGCTTTAGCTTTATGTATTCATACGCAAGGGTTTTGTTTAAGGGTTTGATTTAGAAGTATACCTGATTTTAATCGTGTTTTGACCAATCAGATTCAAGCTTTCTTCAATATCATGGTAGAATATATATTTAACCCATATTCATATGTGACAAAAGGAAATATACGGTCATCGTTTTGATATGCGGACGTTTAAGTGTGGCCAGATTAGATACGTTATATTAAAGTTTATGAGTATTTGTTGAAAAGGGTAACTTTTCACAACTTCACAAGTATCAAAAATAATAGTATTGTAATGTATAACTATCTGCACGTATCATCATATCCTGACAGCATGGGGGATTGCTGATAATATCAGTCACTGGTTTGTCTGGTTGAGACTGGATTAGTTAAAGGCCGGATTCACACAGCTGGATTATTGGTGAGTGTGGCGTTAAACAACAACCAAAAAATACAATAAGCGAGTTGTATTTGCCGTAACTCAATTTACGGTGACTGGAATGGAGTTAATATAGGAGGTCTCGCCTTGCCTACCAATGGTTGCAGTATGCTATTACATGACAATGTATTGCGTACACTCATTAAGCAACGTTACACCAAAACACCGTGTATTAGAAAACAGTCTCAAAAAGGCTTGATCTGTTATCTGTATTTACGTGGTACGAAGCAATTACGAAAACGATATGCCTCCCAATGGAAAATACTTTTTCTACATAAATGAATGACATTAGCATGGCTAACCCATTTCCACCGTTACCTTGGAATCCCTGAAGAAAGTTAGGGCTAACCTGATTTGTTCTCGGGGATTTGCCTGTCGCGAATATTTCCTTTGAGAATTCTGCTGGCTTTATTTGGAGTTAATTTATTGTGTCACACTAAAAATATTTCCCCCGCGATTATTCCGCATGCATAACACGCGTCTTTGCTTCATCCATTATTAGTGTTAGTGTGTGTTAGTGTGTGTGTGTGTTAGTGTGTGTGTGTGTGCGCGTGCGTGCGTGCGTGTGTGTTCTGTCACGGCAGTATCGGTGGACAATCAATTCACTACATTCTGTGTTTTTCGCCCTCTAACATTCACGGGCTAACGGTACATTTTTATGAGAGCATGAATGTGTTCTGCGCTTTAAACCTCATTTTTTTATGTTCCCCTCTCCCCGTTAACCGGACATACACCGATGAACACCTGCGTCGCTTACGCTAATTGGTCGACGGGAATACATTTCAATCAGAACACACCAGACAACGAAACACGGTCAAGGTTAATATCTCCGATATCCCGGAATAAGGCAGGCTGTTACACAACTAGGCCTCCGGATATCGGAAAACAGGCAAATATTGACGATCATTGATTACATCGGGATTCTACATCAAGTCATGGATGTCTGTTAGTCTAATTCAACCACTAGACTGATTGTCGAAATGATTTGATGGTCCTATGATTAGAAACATTTTGTGGTTATAACGTCAGCCGTGGCGATGACGCTGCTGTAGTCGACGAGTGATATGAATAGACACAATATAGACGGATGTGACGGAATAGATCCATGGACGGCGGACAGCATACTAAACGAATAGAGGTTGTGATATTGTTTGTAGTTTCTGTAGCATGTTACACACTAAAGACTGATATGATTATTTCAAGCGGACATCCATAGCATTCACCAAAGTGGTAAAGTCGAAAACCTGCAACACTTCCGGCCTACCTCCCACGGCTGACACGCCACGACATAACTGATAATGTTCAAAGCTACCTCACTC